TCTCAAAACAAAACAAAAATAGATTTTAAATTTAAGTTACCTTGTTTTGTTTGATAAAAAATAAATTAATTAGTGGCTTTGCTTCAATCTTTCTGTTAAAACATTTTACATATAATTTATATTTATATTTTTATTTTTGATCGGCTATAGGATTTATTGTGCAAAGTAATGATTTTATATTTACAAAATTTATATCAGATTGCTCAAAATAATTCAAAAAAAATTAAATTACAAAATCACACTTAATTACCATAAGAAAACTCACCTTTTATAATAAAAAATAATCCACACTTAATTACCCAATTATATATATATATATATATATATTGCTCGGGCCTTGCTTGTCCTCCTTCCTTCCGCCCTCAATCATGAATATATCTTTGGAATATTGAAAAGATATATTTTTATGATATTGATAAGAATTCATTATTTGTATTAAATTATTGTCGTTGTCGTTGTCGTTGTCGTTTATTTATTGTTGATATTTTTTTTAATAATATTATTAAATTAGTGGAGTTTATTAAACTTATTTGAGTGAATGATCTAAATATTATATTTTTTTTAAAAAATATTTGTATTATCATTATATATAGACACACATAAATAACACAAAGAAGAACATCAGTACTTGTGTAAGAGTGAATCTTGGTCAGGTTAAATATTCGATGGAAAGCTAGCTGCTGGGAATAAAAGATGGGCCTGGGAAAAGGATGGATTCCAATGAATGCATGTAAGAAAATAAATATGAAGAACACCCACTGGAGGAATTGAAGCGCATGGTAGTTAATTAATTAGAAGAATATATTTTAAGAAGAGGAAAAGTGAAAGGGCTATGATTGGTGCCTACCTTGAAATTGCTTGCATTCGGATCCCTTTCTCGAACTTGTACTCTGGAGTCTAGTGATTGCAATCAAAGAGAGATTGTCTAAGAATCTACTGATAAACCAAGAGGAAAAGTACTGCTATATAAATCGGTCAAGCTTATAATATATATCATAAATTAAATTAATTACTTATAGTAAGTTGGTTTCATGATTTTCTTTAGAAATTGATAATTCCTTCAATGGCTGGTGGGGTCTGCCTTTGTCCCCCCCTCTACCTTTTGTGCTGTATAAAATATAACCCAAGGTACAATTCTTTCTCAACAACAATCAGCATGTATATATTTTCTTGGCAGAGGCGCATCTGAATTTGATTTGCAGCTAGAAAAGGGTTGTAAAGGTAGGTTCTATTATTTTAATTTATACGCCATGACTATCAAGGGTTGAGTAAGAATTAAAAGGAAGAGGAAGAAGCATGGTAATGAGATTTAAGGTGTGTATTGCCTTCCTCTTTTTTTTTTTTTTTTAAATTGGGATAGTTGCTGTTTTTATAAATAAATTTGGCAAAGAAAAAATGAGTTTTTTTGAAGGGTTATGCCTGTTTTTTCTTAATTTTTTCCGCTGTAATTATAATGACGAAACCTATAAGTCCCTGTTCTATATGGAAAACATTAAATCGATATATTTTTTATTTTTTTTATAGTTTTAATGCACTAACATTACAAATTAAAAAATAAAAAATAATTATTTTGATATATTTTTAGATAAATAATATTTTTAGTTAAAAAAATACCCTTATCATAATACCAAACAATGAGGTGCTGATGTTGGTTAACAGCATTCTATGTGCTGAAATAAACTCCCATATATGTCATTACAAACCATCCAACAACCATGTGAATCCCTAAACAACATAAAATAAATTTTCGGTATTGTACTATATTAGATTTTAATTATTCCTTCATAAAAAATTATAGGTGAAAGCCAGGGACAGAGTAAGAAAAAAAAATTAAGGAGGGTCAAATTAAAAGAATTATTTTAAAAAAATTTGTTTTATTAAAATATGTATTAAATGAAAACCAAAGGAGGGGCTGAAAAATTTTTCCTTGCAAGTGCGGGGCTCCTGTCAACCCCCCTGCCTTCACCATTGATGAAAGCTGTACCATTCCTTTCTAGTGATTTATATAAAAAACATATTTATTAAAAGAATTTTGTTTTAATAAATAAAGACCCAAAATTTTCTATGAAGGGAACGGCAGGGTGGCAATGAGACGGTGAATGGAGATAGCTGTGATGCTAGTGATTACAAAGTGGTGTGACTAAGATGATATTATTGATGTTTTTTTAATATATTAATTTATGTTAAAGTTTTCCAAATTTATTTGAAAGGATATCGAAGGCAACTTAGGAGCTGAATTGAAACCAGAAATACTACTCTCTATCATCAACAAACAAATCAATCAATGGATTAAGAAGACTGCATACAAATACAAAGCTTTACGAAAGCAGGAGAGCCTCGATCGACGCTGCTTGATAAAAATAATTAATGTTAACAGCTCACAGGGGCGATGATCAGCTTTAAAGTTGATACACACACACATATGATCATATATTCGTTGTGGAAAGATTAATATTATTATAACAGTGCATACGTACACACAGTCTCCTTTATTAATATCTCCATTTAATTAATTAATTAGTGACTACTTGTAGCATCAGGAAAAGGGTGTGTATATATATACATATCTCTTTAGAATATCAGGGAAAGGAGGAAAGGAAGGAAGAAAGCTCCGGCCTCTTATATAAAAGTAAAAAGAAGAAATCTCCTCCTCCTCCTCCTCCTCCTCCTCCATTCATTCTCCTTTTGATCGGTGCTGGGCAGGGCAGCAGACATCATGGGGACATGCATCTACAGTATACATGCATGACAAGCATTGCTTTCTTTCCAATATATATATATCTTGCTGCAGCTCCTCTTTAATTCTTGGTAGTGAGTGTTAGTACTCTTAGGTGCGTGCATGAATGCTAGCTCCCACAATGCATTATCTGTGCTAGCTCGCTCCCTTGAGAAAATCCAACTTTAATCTCTTCTCAAGACCAGTGCCATTCTTTAATCTCCATCTCCATCGTGGAACAAAGCAAGCAGCGGTGCCGTCAATGGACGACTGTGTCTTGTTCCCTCCATTTTTATTTTTATTTTTTGGAATTAGAACAATTAGATCACCCACCCAGGTCACGTTTATCTACGAGATTTGAGATGTGTTGGGCATGGAAAAGAGAACATAATTTTCAAACAAGAAAGGAGGCATTTATTTCGGAATGTACCGCTGGAGACTTCAGAAACTTTTGACCTTGGCTAGCTTTTAAGAACACCGAATGAAGAAAATGATTCATAGCTAGCTTGAGGATGGGTTCTCTAGTAGATCACAGACTCATCGAAAATTATGAAAAAGATGTGAATGAGGAGCAGGAAATCCTCAAAGGGGGTGGTAAATTGTCAACAATCAAGAGATGAGAGAGGTTTTGTCCTTCTGTAGCGTGGGGCAAGGAACAAACAAGCCAACGTGGCAGAGGTTGGGAAAACAGGGAAGAAAACGCCCTCTTTCACACACACACACACACACACACACAAAATAAATAAATAAACAAGTGACGTAAATCTTGGTGAATTGTAGGGGTCGTAATAGTAGAGTGCGTTTGTTCAGGTGGTTAATAGAATTTAAACGCCTGTTTGTTTTTAAAAAAATTATATTTAAAATTTATGTATATTTAAAAAATATATAAAATGTTTAATAATTGTATAACTGTTTAAAAAATATATAAAATGTTTAATAATTATGTGGTTGTAGTTGTTTTTTAAAGTAGTTTTTAATTAAAAATATATTAAAATAATTTTTTTAAAAAAATATTTTTCATATCAATGCATCAAAATAATCTAAAAACAAAAAAAAATATTAATTTAAAATAAAAAAAATATTTTTTTAAAAACATTTTTAAAACCCAAATTATTTTTTTAAAAACACTTTTAAAACCCAAAAACAAACCGAATTTTATAAAATTTAATTATAAAAATATGTAAAAATTACTTTTTAAAAACTATATTTCAAATTTAATTTTATAATGAGTTTTATAATAAAAAATACTATTTAATATGTTATCAAATATTTTACCATATTTTTTACACCACATATACAAAAACTACAAGTAACAAAATAGTAGGAAAGCTTAGACAAGATTACATGGGGGAGGACGATAAGCCAGCAAAGGAGATTTTTAACTTTTATTACCACTTTCAATTTACAAATAATAATAATAATAATGTTGGGATGAACGAGATAAACACAATTCTGTTAAGGAGAGTCTCTTGTGTTCTTGGATGTATTTTAAAAGGCTTCAGAAATATTAAACAATGATTTTTTAATATTTTCTAATGATTTTAATATGTTAATATTTAAAATAAAAAAATTATAAAAATAATATTAATATATTTTTAATCAAAAAATATTTTAAAAAAACAGGATATATCACAATGTTAAAAACATTGCCGCAAATGAAATTTCACGTTGTTTTTTTATTTTAAATTCATATTTAGAGCATACTTGTTTGCTGTGTTTTAAAAAAATTAAAAAATTCTAATTTTTTAAAGTTATTTTTTGTATTTTTTGTATTATTTTAATATATTAGTATAACAAATAAATTTTAAAAAATAAAAAATATATTATTTTAATAAATATTTTTAGAAATACTTTAAAAAATAATTCATTTTCACAGTTCTAAACACCCTCTACATATCTATTGTTTTTGTGCAATCTTGCTTTGCTTAAATTATATATTTAAAAATATTTGACTAATAAAAACACAGAAATTTTGTATGGATCGGGATCCTCTACAAATTCTCATCTCTTAAACACTTTTTTTTTCCAAATTATAACCATAAAAATTAAACATAAACTTAATTGTACCTCTTTGTTTCGAGCTTTTGGGTTCTGTATTTTACAAATAAATTCATATTAACAATAAAAATCTTACTCTAAAGACTTCAACTTTTTTTGTTTTTGTATCTTACTCTAAAGACTTCAACTTTTTTTTTTTTTTGTTTAAATGTTTGAGAGAGAGAGAGAGAGAGAGAGGCCCTGATGCGCCTTTTGATGTGTGAGTGGGTGGTGCTCTTTTCTCCTCTCTTCTTTCTCATTTATACCCTCTCTCTCTCTATTCTTCTCTGGGAGCACTTGTACTGTCTCTTTCCTTTTCCTTCTCGTCATCTCTCTTCTAAAGAAAATTGGAAAAGCCTCATTTTTTCCCTTCTTTCTTTCATTTTCTGCTCTTCAACCCAATACCATCTCAAAGCTTGTTAAGGTTTGTTTAACTTATTAATAATTAATTCTTTCTCTTCAATTTAGTGGGTTGCTTGTTCCTGTCTCAAAGATCAAGTCTTTTCTTGTTTTTGCTTTCAAATTAACTCTTATATGGGTTCGTGTGATTTCATGATCTCTCTCTTTCTTTCATTTTTCTCTCACTTTGATTTTCCGGGTTGTTTCTGTTTCAATATTTAATTTGAAAGCAGTCAATAGTTTTAGTCTGGTCCCTGGTCATAAATATGCCTTTCCTTTCTTAGATTAGATTTTCTCCTGGGTTTTTTTGGTCAGTTCAAACTGTTCACTTTGTAAATCTAGAGATGCCTGAAATCTTGGGGTGTCTGACTCTCTCTCCTGATTTCTCTCAGCTGGCTGCTCAGCTATCCATATATTCAATCCATCTATCTAAAGTAGGGTTTTTTTTTTTTTTCCAGTTTCTTTTTGGTCTTTATTTTGCTTCATTCACAATTCACTGGCTAGCTGGCTGGCTGGCTGGATAGCTACATCTCTTTCAATATTCCTTGCTCCTTTTGGATTTTTGAAAGTTGTGTGTTTATGCAGATTACAACCTCTTAATTAAGGTTTTTAATCTCGATGATTATCTATGTATTATCATAATCATATGAGATTTGATTTGATTTGATGATACTGTACTTTGAACATTCAACTTCATCTTTTCTTTGTTCTTGTGGATTTGTTTTCCCCACATAAAATAACGCATACTCATCAAAACTTTTGAGAAGAGTTTCAACATCATCTTTGCTGAAGTGGGTGTTTGTTGTTTTGCGAAAACTTTGGTGTTTTTCTTTGCTTGATCAATCAAAAACACTACAGGATGCTTCCGTTTCACTCATTCCCACATAAAATAACGTTTTCTACGGACGAATCTCTCCTTAATTGCTAGCTAGCTACCCACTAATCCTCCACTGATATTAATATCTTCTACTTCTGGCCATGTCCTTTGCTACAACTGTTAATGATCTCATGATTTCTTTTCCTTTTGTTTCTGTCTGTGATCTTTGCAGGCAGGTTAAATGGATGAAGATTCTAATGGGGTTGCTTGATCTTCTTCTTGTTCGTGTGTACAAATATAGATAGCTAGCTAGAGCTTTGGTTTGCGTCTTTGCTGTTGTTGCGGCTGTGGAGGTCAATCGCATGTGGTGAGAGTTCTTTGGTGGTGGGGTTTTTTGAAATAGAAAGAGAGAGAGAAAGATAAAAAGAAAGGCAATACTTCTTCTACTGCTACAAGTTATATGTGAACGAAAGAAGGAAAAAGAGAGGGGCTGTAGTGATATACTACTAGGTACTAGCTATATATATGCTGGAGACTAAGAAGATAAAGATATGGCAAGACAGCAGTACTGGAAGTTATAGTTGTGGAGAAGCTGAAGTTGCTGCTGCTTGTGACTGTTACCGAAACAGCACAAGAAGAGAGAATAATAGCATCAGATGTTATCCATTGAAAACCCTCCAGTACCAGATCCCTCATGTTCTTCTTCCCAGCTGAATAGTAGTGATGAGAGGGCTTCCCAGCTTCCTACCAGTACTAATAATAAGCTTCCTTCTCCTAATTTGTCAGAGGTAGTAGTAGAAAATCTGCCAAACAGAAACCCATCTCTTCATCATCATCATCATCATCATAGTCCACTTCCTAATTTCTCCATAAGGTAAAACCAATTCATTCTTCTTATCTGATCCTTTCTTTCAGGGATATGAACAGTACTATTTTTTTAAAATTTGATTTATTTATTTTTTGTCGTGGCTCTCTTGCTTTGCTTTGCTAAGCTGACTACTCCTCTTTCTGTTTCTTCCTTTCCCATGGTGGTGATCTGATCAAAGTCAGCTAATCGATCTCTAAGATCTTTTGATGGGTCAGATCCAGAGTTACATGTTCCCCTTATGGCTCAGTTCAACATGGGCACACCTCCCATCTTGTCTCTATTTTGGTCTTTGAAGACTTTTTTCTCGCTTGGCTTTTAATGATCATATTCAAGGCTTCTTTTTGGGGTTCATATGTTTGTGTTTTTTAATGATTTTCTGTGTCATTACTCACTGGTTCTAATCTCTGTTGATTATTTTTGCTTGTGATTTCATGTCGCTCTGTACAAACAATCTGTACTTTTTCTAATCATATACTGCTGCAACCTGCAGACTTTTTCTCAGTCACTAGATTTTCGAATCTTGCCTTCACTTGGATCTTGCTTGGCTGTTTTCCTACTGTTTTGGGATTCACTTCCAGTTCTATGAACCAGATTTTCCCTTTCGAACTTGTTGTGTTGTTAACATATGATATAATTGAGGGTTCCAGTTCTTATGTACATAATAAGATCATTATAGCTTACATATATAATTTGATGTTTTTAGCTTATTATAGGTAGCTTGATCTTAGTTCATGCTAACAGAAGCTGTGGTTTGCACTGCAGAGATTATGTATTTAAAGCCAGGAGCAAGGATATCAAAAATAGCTGGCCTTTTTCTCAAAACAATTTACAACTTTGTTTGAAACATGGCGTGAAGGACGTGTTGCCAAAATTTCAGCCTCATGATACTGTAAGAAACCAGTTCTTTAAGAGATGTACAGGTGAAACCAGTTCAGTTGAGAAGGAAAACATCAGCAAAAGAAGCAATTTTGACAAGAAGGCTTCTAGGCCGGACAATCGTGTGCTGCTAGACTCGTCTGATGATGCTCAATTAAATAACAAGCTAGCAGAATCCTGTGTAGACATTAGTTCATGTAGATCTGGAGAAGGAAATGATTTCCCATCCACAACAACAAGTGAGATAAACTCAGTTCCTGATAACAGGCATCCTAGATCACCATTAGAAACTCAATCTTTGGTCAAAGCCGCTGTTGAAGTTGAAGCTCCTGTGACTCACAAGACTGAAAGCACCTCCAGGCCGTTGGCTAAGAAGTGCAGGTTGATTGTGAAATTTGGTGGCAGCTCTGATCGTAGCTCAGCTGAAGATATTGCTTCTAATTGTACTACTACATCAGAAACAATGGCTTCAAAAGTTTGTCCTGTTTGCAAAACTTTCTCATCCTCATCAAACACTACCTTGAATGCTCACATTGATCAGTGCCTTTCTATGGAATCAACACCCAAGTGGACAGCAGATTCTAAGCCAACAAGGTATAGAATTAAGCCGAGAAAGACACGGTTGATGGTGGATATTTACGCTACAGCTCAATATTGCACGTTAGAAGAGCTTGATCGAAGAAATGGTACGAGCTGGGCCACCATGTCAAGCTTGCCGGGTCAAGAGACTGAGAAGAGTGACGCGCCTAATGAAGGGAAAAAGCAAAGGGTGTCCCCAATTCATCCTGAGGATGCTGCTGATGTAGGTCCAGTTTATATTGATGCAGATGGTACCAAAGTTCGGATTTTATCTAAGTTTAATGATACTCCACCAGTAGCAAAAGTAAGCGAGGATGTTGGTGCAAGAAGGGAGGATATTGGAGCAAAGAAATCTTTGAAAGGAGGCAAAGCAAGCAAATACATTTCAAAGAAAAAGAAAAAACGCCTAGCACAAAAGCATCATAAGTATCTAAAACTTGCTTCTCAGAGCAAAAATATTTTCTTCCACAAGGCGCCTTGCGCTCAGGTACAATCTCTTGCTTGCACTACATGTTCTTATTTCCTTCCCAAACTATATATAATCATCTCACTGACTACCCTTGTCCATTTTCAATAGCCAAGAAATTTGAGAATTTGAGTATGCGATAGATCAGTTAATTTTCCTTTTGTTTTCTAATGCCATCGAGAAGCTTAATGATGTTATGTTTTGGGGAAAAATGCATCTTGGATGCTTCAGCTGATATTATGTCGCGTCCATCTGTTTAGTGTTTATGTTAACTGGATGGAATTATTGTGCAGAAAAATTGCTAAAACACTATCTTTCCACCTCAAGCCCTTCTATAACATATTTTATAGATCTCCTGTACTTTAATTTACAAATTTTACACCATCTTTTGTTGCAAAGTCAGTAACATTAATGTCAGTTATATACGGCTGTCAACATTGCTGTTAAACAGATTTCTGGAGGTCAAGAAGAATTTAACGGAGAGGGGAAAAGTTGTGAGAAAGAACAACGGATGTTGAAGCAAATCAATCCCGATGATGGCGGGACTTTAAGACCATGGATTTGCTCCAAACGAAGAGGTTTTTCAAAGAAGATTCCAACTCCAGAGGGTCATCAACCTGTGAGATGTAAATGGCATTTGGCTCAAGACTTGCTGGTTGAGAATGGTCATCTTTCAGAGAGGAGCCGCACTCAGAAATCAGTCATTTTGTCTGATAACCCAATATCTTCTCATAGAAACATTGAGAGGACGGAGAAGCCATTTCATAAAGACCATGTAAATGAGAGGATGGAGCACTCTCCTGGAAGAAAGATAGTAACAAATCTTCCAGTGAGAGACAGGATTAATGGCGAAGTGGATAAGTTGTTTCCAGCGATGAAGTTGAGCAAAGATGGCACTTATACACTTGATAACTGTTTGCTAAGACCTCCAGACTCTCCCAGGATAAAGGTCTCTTCACTAACCAAGAAGACAATCTATACTCATGCTGATACAAGTAATAATTCAGATACCTCTCCCATTGCTAGCACAAAATCATCCCGGAGTTCTCGTACAGTTGTATCCAAAGCATTGAGATTCTGCTCCTTTAGGAAAAGTGTACTGGCTGTCAGCAGCCAATCTTCTGTGACTGAATCCAGGCCCGGCAAGGTTAGGAGATGGTCAACCCTTGACAAGTCTGAAGAGCCTTCGACAAGAGAAATAGATGAAGAGGCAATGTGCAGGCATCCTGAGGTTCATGAACAGTATGATTTGATGCAGGATCATACAGAAAATGTACTTGAAAGAGAAGAAATAACTGATGACGTGTCTCTTGGTGGAAGCTCCATCCGGGAAACTAGGCAAGAAAAAAGATTGTCATGTAGTTCTGAAAGGCTGGAAGCCTTGTCTTTGAGGAGCTCAAAATCTACACCTGACTATGGTCATGATGAGGAGATAAATGTAGATTCTTCAGCTAGATTTGATGATGATGATGATTATTTGCGCAAAATTGATCCCCTAGAATCTCCTGGAACACAAGTTCCAATACATGAGGACATTGTTGTTGAAACATCTTCCAAGACTTTGGATGGGAGGACGAGCACCTCTGGTACGAGTAAATCCGTTGACACTGGTTTCTATGAGCTAGGTGTTTCTTCAAAGGTCCCATCAAAATGTCTTCGGTCTATTGAAGATCATGAAGGACTTTCAAGGCAAAATGATGGGTCAACTGGTCCACCTGAGCCAGGTTTTGTTCACGACCAAGGGATGTTTTCTGCTGCTGAAGCTGGCAGTGGCATGATGGGCCAAAATGCTGATATGATGGTGGTGGAATTGGATTCTGAAGCTGCGAAAGTAGACTCTTTTCCTGAGGTTGATCCCATTCTGATTCCAGGACCCCCGGGGTCATTTTTGCCAAGTCCTAGAGATATGGGCTCTGAAGATTTTCAAGGAAACTCATCATTGACTAGTAGCCAGGTTCAGTCATCTCCAGATCAGTATGATGTGATTGATGGAGATTCATCAGATTCCCCTCTATCCGCAGCATCGACCATCTCTAACTCCATGGCTGGCAGACCTGATTTCAATTATTCAGAACCACCATCATCAGCAGGACATTATGTTTTTCAAGACAGTATGAGGTCATGCTTAACTTCTGCTGGACTTGAACCTTTGGCACAGAATGCTGATGCAGCTCCACAAGCAGCAACTACAAGAGTTGAAAGAGCTACTTTCTTGGTAGAGTACGTGAAACTTGATGGGATCCCCATTGAGAAGGAATCTTTTGGCATAAAAAATGATCAGCCATGCCGTTGCCAAAGAAAGGAGAGGTTTGCTGAGAGTGTTGCTCTAAATCACCAGGAATCACAGCTACTAAGGCGGAGGAAAATGCCATCGATGACATTTCCTTCTGTTAGCAAGCAAATGGGTTGCAATTCAAACCCAATGCCGATTAATTTGGATGTCAGGCCTGAATTAGTTCCCCTGAACAGTTACTCAGCTTCAGGATCTGAAAAGATGGTTCTCCCATTCATCAAGCCCCCCGGAGACCCTATTCCTTTGAAGGACTCTCCCAATAATTCTGCAGTGAGATCTTTAGCTTGTGCGGATGGTGATTCTGCTAGTCCATCTGCTTCTAATCCTATACTAAGGCTGATGGGGAAGAACTTAATGGTGGTCAACAAAGATGATAATGTAGCCATGCCAATTGGGCAGGTCCAACCTTGTGCTCAAACAATCAATCGAACTCCTCACTTTCCAACAATTTCTGCAGTCTCTCCTGGCAATATTCAGAATCAGGACAGTCATTCATTTCATCGCGTCACCCCTCAAGGTTTTGCCATCTTTAGTCGGGATCCATATTACAAGACAGCAGTTCAACGTTTTGATGTTGGGTTGTCCAACAGTTTTGGAAGCCACACTGATTCTAAGCTACCCCGGGCACCATCGCAGTTACCAGCAGGCATGTTTTGTGACCAACAATATGATGGTGGTTTTGTAACATCCATGAAGCCTCAACAGTGCAAAGATGATTATAATTTCTCAAGTTCTCAGAACAGGCTAAAGAGAAGGCTAGATGCGTTTCCTACGTGTACTTTGCAGAAAGCTACGGAAACTCCTGACCGCCAGTGCAAGCGTGCAGATTCATCTGCTCATCCTGTAAAAGAAATAATCATCATTGATGATGTTCCTGAAAGTCAAACTGTTGTGATCAGTGACATTACAAGATACAATGAAGGCTGGAGGGAAAGACAAGCAGTTCCATCTGGTATCTCTGTTCCAACCATCCCAGTTTATAACACGAGTAATTTGAATCCCTTTACTTGTTATCAGTCACAAGACCACCCTCCACTTGGTGGAACACCATTGTTGCACAATGGCAACTTTCATGCAACTGCCACTAGGTTAGTTAATACGAGTCCTGTTAGGTGGGGTTGTCCATCGGAGGGTCCCAGCGTGTTGCAACAGAATCCTTTCGTGGCTGCATCAAACTCATCTGGTCATCCAAGATCAGCATCGCTGTATTATTCTCCAAGCTTTTCATAGCCACCGTGGCAAGATCAGCATCGCTGTTTTATTCTCCAAGCTTTTCATAGTCACCGTGGTTAGCTTGCATGACCTTTTCTGCGCAGTTGTGCTTTAGCAGGTTTACATCGAGGCACTGAACTTGAGCTTCTCCCATGGCTAGCTACCGTTGTCTGAAACTTTAGGGTTCAGAAATGACTTTATAGAAGAAATAGTGGTGGTTTAATTATCAAAGACAGCCTGTATGAGTTTTGCGGTTGGGATCTCAGACGAAGTTTGTATTTATTTCTAATGTACCGATGTTGAGTCTATGACACTTTTTTAGGCTTTCTTCTTCTTAGGCAAATCTCAAAGCTTTCAAAAACTAGACAATGTATAAGCAACTCGTTGAATAGTAGTCGACAAGGAACTTGGCTGAAAGACAATGGAGTCAAGTGTTACTGGAAGAAATTTCCATCTCGTCTTAACTCTCCTCTCTCGCTCTCTCTCTCATGATGTTTATTTCCTTTCTATACAATCATTCGAGCTGCATTTTGATCGCTAAACTACTTTCACTTGCACTTGATTGTCCATGTGCATGCATTTAAATAAGAACATTGATGAGGATATGAATGAAAGATTTAATAAATATTTTATTTAAGACAAAAAAGGTAGGTGTTCTTCTTTTGGATGAAATTGTTCCACGATCTAATATAATATGGCTGTATTTGCGTTGTCGTGGCATGGGTAAATATGAGCCAATAATATTAATATCATGGATGGTTAAATTTGTGTACTTGGAAGTCATTTTCAAGAGAGGGCATATTCCAACAAACATAAAACAAGTGCATGCATATGGAAGCTTTGATAAGCCTCGCCTTGCCTCGCCTTGCTAGACCGTGTACAAACAGGCCCCCCTTTATTCTTCTGCTAGCTAGCTGTGTTGAGCTTGCATTAACCATGCAATTGGACATTGGCGCATATGATCATAATGTTCATACAGCCAGTGGGGAGGGGGAGAGAGAGAGAGAGAGAGAGAGCATGGCATGCAAGGGATTATTTAATTGATTACTGGGCTTAAACAGTAATGCTACTTCTTTATCCACTTGTTTTTATAATGGCTTTATTTGATGGTATATATATATATAGACAGGGGGGTGTTATGGCATGGTATATGAGAAGTAAGTGCAGCTACCAGGCAGTGATATGAATAACAGTACGAGCATGATGATGATGATGCGTGATGGGTCATGGCCAGGAGAGGGAAAGGTTATATATATATATATATATATAAAGTCACGAATATATATAAAGTCACGAGTCAAAGGGGCAGAAAAGAAGAACATGATGGCCTGGCAAGGGAGGGCTGCCTTTTTGGGTTAACTGGCACCATGGATTGGAGGAGATCAAGGAGAGGTGAGATTGAGATATATTCTATAGCTCGTAGCCTTTTTAGGGCAGCGAGCGAGGCACTAGCTAAGCTCCTTAATAAAATGCTGCCTGCACTGATCTCATCTGCTCAGCTTTCTGTGCTGGTTTTTTCCCCTTAATTATCTTACTGTGAATTCCTTTGTTTTAAGTGTTTTATTGCATGGTGAAGTAGGTAAGTGGGACAGATGACATGAAGCGAAGCTGTCTCTTTAGAGAGAGAGAGGGGTCCCATATTTGTGTTTTATTACGTGGGGGCCACCATTTGTCTTTTTCTCCATCTCTCTCCTGGATTCCCCTGCCCTTTTCAAATCTTTTGAATGACTGGTTCAATGTGTATATTATATATACACTCCCACTCCCGTGACGGCTCGTATCAAATATTTTTTGGACAAAAAAAATAACATTAGGTAATTTTAATGTGTTTTTTAATAAAAAATTAAAATTATATAAAAACTTATATGATATAGTTGATTTGATAAGTATAAATATAACCTAGATAATCAATAAAAATATAATTTGATTTAAAATATTCAATATGTTTTTAAAAAATATATTAAATATTTTAAATCAAATTATATTTTTATTGATTATTTAGGTTATATTTTTAAAAAATATATTACGATTACAATATATTATATTAACTTGTCAAATCTAATACTCAAGTTTTGAGACCCTGATAACCCTATAAAAAATAAAAACTTATTTTTGTTAAATTTAACTCTCAATTAACTCAAAGTTGAATGATAAAATTAAAAATAAAGTTTAATTTAAAAAATGAGTCAAATGAACTCTAGTTAATCTGTTAAATATGAGTTATGAGAGCAAAATAACTATATAAAAAATAAATTATAAAACTCAATTCATAATCAATTCAATGTTAAATAAAAAAATAAAAAAATCAATTACAATAAAAATACAAAAAACTACTCAAGTTAACAGAACAAACTCGTGACTTGGGTCATGAAAATCTCATACAATAAAAGATTGAAATAAATAATAAAGTTCAATTCCCAACCAATTTAATATTGAAAAAAAATTCATCCAAAAAAAGAACAAAAAAGCCCAAGTTAACCGGCTTAACCCGTGACCGGGTCATAAAACTGTGATAACCATATGAAAAGCAAATAAAAAGTAAATTATAAATTTTAATTTTTAATCAACCCAATATAGAAGGATTAAATTAAAAAAAATTAAATAAAAAAAATAACTTGAGTCAACTCGCGTTGACTTATCAAAATCGAGTGAGAAGATAGGGATAACTCTATAAAGAAAATTTAAAAAAATTATAAAGTCTAATTCTCAATCAACCCAATATTAAATGATAAAATTAAAAAAAAAATATTCAATTAAAAGAAGAAAAGGAAAAACCTAAGTTAACCTATCCAACTCTTAAAACTCACAATTCAAATTATGAAATCATGACAATCTAATACAAAGAAAATAAAAATATAATAATAATTATAAAATTTAATTCTTAATGAATCCAATATTAAAAGATGAAGTTGAGAAAAAAATAAAAGAAAAGGAAAAAAAATAATTCGAGTCAATAATGCTAACTTGTAAAATTCGCGATCCAGGTCATAAGACTATAATAACTCTATAAAAAGAAAATTAAAATAATTATGAAATTTAATACCCAATTAATTTAATGTTGGATAATGAAATTGAAAAAAAATAAAAAAATCTAAAAAATCATGATTTTTAAGGACTAAAGTGTGAAATGTCTTTGCATTTCATTATTCCATTACTATAATGAAATACCAAGGACTTTTAAGAGCAACTCTAAGGGGTGTGTCGAATAGAAAGCTAAAAATAAAAATAAAAAAATATTATTTTTTTTTCTATGTTTATTTTACATGTTTTGAAAAAGTGCTAAACAACTAACAAGGTAGAGTCAACAAAAAAAATAAACTAATTAAATACAATTATATTGAAGAAAATGACAGCAAACTCATTCAAAAAAAATATTTGATGGCATTGTTACAAAATAAACATACCACTATATAATAATAATAATAATAATAAGGTTTACAAGGTGTGAGTTTGCTAATGTTTCTAGAACTGGACATCAGTCTAGCATGTTTACAATATCCAGGCATGGTCTACCAAAGTTATTAGATCTAGACTCGGGTCTGGAATAACTCTAAACCTTAGTCTATTAGATCTAGCAAAATCGTCAAATTTAAAAGGTTTAAAATATTTTTTATATTTTTAATATTTTTTATATATTTTAAAAAAATTAATATTGACCGCATGGACCAATATAGTAATGCAATTAAATAGGACTCAATGAATAAAATTGATAATATAGGGACTCAATTAATCATATTGATATTGTCTAGGGATGATTCATGTAATTAAACAGGGCCAATACATAAAAAGTCAACAATTTCTTACCCACCAATCCAACCAGATAACAGAATTTGGATTTGAAGGGTAGTTGGGTCAACAAAGAACATCCTATACGCAATGTCACAACCACCACCCCCCTCAACCACAACTACCTACACTACCATCCCCATCCCCGTCGGGGACGTGATTTCTCGTTCACTCCAAAACTTCACTTCCTCCTTCTCCATCCTCCGCCCCTGGCCCGAGCTCTTCACTTCCAGATCCTTCACCCGACCTGACTCATTCGCCACTGCCTTGACCCGACTCCGGGCCAACTTCCACCATTTCAGAGTCAATTACTTAATAATCATCTATGCTTGCGGAGCTTTATCTCTAATTGGGTCTCCATTTTCCCTCCTAATATTTTCTTCTGTGCTGTCTCTCTGGCTGCTCTTCTACTTCTTTAGAGAAGACCCATTGGTGTTATGGGGCTATGATGTGAGTGATCGCCTGGTTTTGATTGGTTTGGTTTTGGTTTCTGTTTTGGGTGTTTGGTTAAGCGGGGCAGCTTGGAATTTGGTTTGGGGTGTTCTGATTGGGTTTCTGGTATGTGCGATTCATGCTGTATTGAGGAATTTAGATGGGTTGTTGGTTCCTGGCGAGGAAGCTGCTTTGGTCGGGTCAGGGTATGTGTCCGGGTCATATGGAGCTTTATCAGCATCTAGTGATGGTGGTGATCAATTCATCAAGTAAAATCGGAGTCCTCGAAAGGAACTGACTTTACATCGTTTCATTGATTGCTTTATTATTTTACATTATAATGATTCTTGTGGAGAGTTCTGTGTGATTTGGTTTCTTTGGAGTGTGAAAGGTTGTCTCTTTTCTGTTCTTAAGACAAGTTGGAAGAAACTACTTATGACTTAAAGTCAACAACGTAGTTTAGTGTGAATTTCAACGATTACTGCCTTCCTGTCTTGTGATACTATTTTTTATAACAATGTAGTTTAGTGTGAATTTCAACAATTACTGCCTTCCTGTCTTGTGATACTTTTTCTTATGTATGTTTTTGGACATGGATAAGAGGGATTCTCTATTGTTTTCAATGTCTTGTTGTTTATGATACTATTTATGTTTTACCTTAACTCAATTTATTTATTTGTCAAGTTACCTACTGCTTGGTAGAAGAGGGTAACAGATGGATGATGATAGAGGCAACTGTCATTGTAGAGTGTAGACCAGACACCTCCTCCTATCTACTACATGGGGACCTTTGAAATTTTGATCATTCAGATTCAGACAAACAACTTAACTATTCCCAACTACCACTTCGTTGTTTCCTCACCTGTCCTTTTCAATCCCTTCGCTTTCTTGGGTTTCATCCAAGATTTGGTCTTGTTTAATTTCTTATCTTCAGTCAAGTGAGATTGAACATCTTGTATATTAAAAAAGTGACCAAATTGAGGGTTCTTCAACTTGAAGTTAATGTCATGATGTGCATTGAAGACTGCTATAAATTACAATCAACTTCATGCTTATATTTCTAACTAAACATGGGTTATTACAGTGTGAGCAAATCCGAGCTCTCCATGGTATGGTTGGTTCTTCCATTGATAGAGATTACCTGCATCGCAGTTTGCTCCTCTTTCTATTTAGCTTTTTTAGCTAGTGTTTCTTGGGCAGCCAATGTTTGAGCATGATTGTAGCTCAGCATCACAGTCCAGATGCTTAC